CCCCCCCCCCCCCCCAACTTCCACACTCTTGGTATACAGTAATCCGGGTTCACTTCTAAACATACCTCTAACTAATCAGACCACTTACACCTATAATCCAGCTCAATTATCTTTGATTTTTTACTCGACCAGCGGGTAATGTTGTTCGTTGCAGTGCAATTATAATCCCCTTCGTGTTTTTCTTGGATATTAAGATTACGAAGAACGGAATTTAAGGTATCCTTTCCAACCAGCTGCTCTGAGATGTAAAAACCTTCAGATCCGTTGATGATTTGTTTTTTATCTGGATTGTACCAAACTACACGAGGACGAGGCCATCCCTTGAAGGTACAACTCAGTTCCATTTGTCTCGTGTCAGGATAGTAGTCAACGGGAGAACTTGTCTTCGATACTGTCTTAACTGGAACTGAGAAGGAATTCTTCGTCTTAATTTCAAAGCTCATAAGTCATGCACCCAGTCATTTAAACTTAGTCTTGTACTTCCTAGGCTCATAAGTCATTCACTCAGTTACAATGTACAGTTTACAGCTATTTTTGACATCTGAAACACGCAATAGGTAATACGAGGACCGAAAGAAACTTTGGGTACAATGATCCTGACTTTCTAAAAGAAGAACGTTCTTCACGGCGGTAACTATAATATTGAGTAAAATGGGGGTGCTGATGAAAGTTAAAAAGAGGGAGCATGACACGTATAAGCTGCGAAAAGCGCCGCATTTCGCGAGCGTAAAAGGTCTCAAACAGCAATTCCTGGACAAATCGCACGCCAGCGAAGATTATTACTGTAAGGTCTTGGTATCATGACCAGTTTTCGTGCCTTTGTTTTCTGCAGCCAAAGGGAAATGCAAATATTAGGTTCTTCAAAAATTCCCATAATTCTATTGGGTCACAGTTTTGCCTAGTTGAGCTTTACTGCATGGAGGTAAACATTTTGAATTCAAGCTATCCTTCACTCTCCCCTCCCTAATACGGACCAGCCTAGCCCTTGATGTTGATTTTTAATTAGCAAATCGGTTCCGATACTAACCTATTCAGTTAAGGCCCCGTGATTCAGCCGGACAAAACGAATGTATCGTTTCTAGTTTAACGATTACTTTTACCGTAAAGAGTGCTTTAGCTGAACTGAAATCTCCTTTGAAATGTTAAGAGGCCTTCATTGGATTCGCACCAATAATTCATGTAACAAGAGACAGAAAACTGCCACATGTTTTTTGCGTCATCGTGAATTCAAAAAGGGGCAAAGAGAGAAAATACTTACTTGAGTATTGTATAGAAAAACATCTACATGACTCATTTCCATCTTTTGAATCGATTTGTTGTAAGAATAGGCCGTTACTGGTGGCATTGAGGATTTTTTCAAGATCCTGCCAAGTCATGTCTTGTACTTTTCCACCGGTCACTATCGAGCAGTTGGAAGTCACTTTAGAGTCTTTCGGCGTTACTGTTATTGTCTGAAAAGACGGCTGGCATTTCTGTGAGTGGAAGCAAGAAGCACTTATTTCACAGTCCGGACTTCTTGGAGTTGACATATCTATTGAGTAAGTAAAAGAAAGAAATAAAAAGGCTGGAAGAAGACATTTCGAAAACATACTCGTGAAATCCAGTTTGATAAGCTGGCACCTTTCCCCGGGGAGGGGGGAGTGGGGTGGGAGGCACTTCTATAACGGAAATTAACGCTCCACGAAAATAAGATATTGGAAATCAACGTGACTTAAATTAACGCGAATTAAATGAAAAACGACTTTCGCTTAAAGAAAATAAAAGCGAAAGAGAGGGTAACAATTAAAAACGAAGGAAATTAACAAGACGTTCACAAAGGAACAACAACAACAATTTTATATAATGTAAATAAGCAGAAAAAAGGTTACAATACATTGGATTAAGTTCTCTTTATAATGGGACAAGCCCAAACCAGACGAAGAGTCTGGAGGGGGCCTATAGTAGAGTGCATGGGGTGGGCCCAACGTGACGCTTTATATTTATAATTTACATATCCTCAGGGCATTTTAAAATATAATGCAAATGACTTTGCATAGCTTCAGTTATTGCTCTGAAACCGCACGAAAACGCTTGCTACGTAGGCTATCCCAAGATCCATGCTTCAGCTAGATAATTGGATTACTATAAGCGACAAATAGGTATTCAAATTTCTGAGGCGAGATGGAAGCTTAGGTGAATATCCAAAGGAGGCGTTTTATATTTTCTTATTGAAAGTTCGGTCTCAATGTTTTATTTTGAGAGATAACAAACCGTATCATGAAATAACAAAAACGAAAGCATGGCTTCTTCGCCATATAAAAGGAAAAACAAATGTGTGCGTTTGTACAAACTTACACTCCACTATCGACCATGCAGTCTTGTTATCACCAAATTCCACAATATCCTGTTCCACTATTTCTGTATCGTCATCTTATTTAAAACGCTACTTGAGGTATATTCTTTCGCACTTTATCAAGACCTAGTTCATCCTCTTTTGACGGTATACTTTGAGCAACGCAATTCATCTTTTGCATGGAAAGAGGAGGCTGGGGCAGTATTTTTTGGGGACATTTATATGGAGCTAGACGCAAAGTCTGGCTAGCACTCTTAATTCTGATCCTGAAAATTATAGCCAGCTGAATAATTTTTCGTACCCAAACACTGACCCGCAAATAACACTATATAGTTCAGTTAGTGTTGTATTTCAAAGCTTATTGACTTCGCGCTGCCAATTCGTTTTGTTGCGGGTCGAAATTAGGTTTAGTGGGAATAGTTCGGAGACTACAGGTAGGACACTGAGGAGAAATAAGAGAAAACTGAGGTAAATTGGCTAAACTGAGGAATTTAA